TTCTCTGCGTGATTACAACAAAGATATACCTAGTGCAATCTCTTTCGACTTAAACCAAGAATAAGCCACATGATGAAAAGGATAAAATAATACTACTGTAAACTTGTATTAGTCCTTCTGTTTTATAATTTTAGTTTCAGTATACTTAGAAATGGAGAAAGTGATCAAATTTTTACAGTACATTTTTAACAAATTATAGAAATACAAGAAAATCAAAAAGATTTTTGCTGAACTTAACTAAGTAAAAAACTCAAAATTGAATATAAAAACTTTTAATAAACCTAAAACACATTTCGACTCATAAGGTGATGTCTACAGTTATTTAGAGACTGTCTCTAACTGGATGACACCTAGAATAAAAAAGTAAAATTTTATTTTTTATATCTTTATGTTATATTATTATCTTTAAAGTATGTTCATTTTTTGAAATGGTGTAACTATAATTATTTTTCACATTTGTAACCGTACCATTTCGTTGAGGTTCAAATAACTCGAAATCGATACATTTTTTTCTAAAGTCGCAAATGATTATTTATTCAAAGTGGATCGTGAGCGTGGGACATCCTGTATACATACTGCAAATGTGTAGCAGCAGATTACATTCTGCATTTAAAGCGCGATTCAACTAGCGCAAAAAGTGAATTTAAAAATACTTCAATCGCCGTTTACGTATTGCAATAGCGATACTATGTAAAATGCAGTCGTAATTTAAAGCAACAAGCTATTTCGAGGAGCTGGTATATAATAAAAAAGCTACAAAAAATGCACTTGTTTAAATTTCGGAAAAGCTTTTGAAATAACAAAGGATGTTCGTTAAATCTATAGAAGAAGGAAGAAAGAAGAAGCATTTTCTTACAAATAGTTGAATACCGAGTACCTACTCTGTGTATGAGTGACGGGGCCCTAGGCGTCTTGAGTCGTTCTTCCAGCTAAAAGATTACACCAGAATTAGTTACACATACGCATTTCAGCACTAAATCTTTATATATAGGTTTGTTCGGAAAGTCATTTCGTTTTTTTTTGTGGAAATGAAAGACAGTTTTCGTATAATAAACAAATACTTTATTAAATTATATATTGACCGTTCTGGTCCAACACCTTTTGCCATCTTTCTGGTAGTAGCATAATTCCACGCTCATAAAATTTTTGGTCTTTGCTGGCAAAAAACTGATCGA